CAGCCCCTGCAGGCGCGAGGTGTTGGCGCGAGGCTCCTGTTCAGCACGCGGAGCCCTGGCACGAGGCTCCGCGAAGCCCGCGCCGCCCGGCTGCCCTCGGGAGCTGGCAGCAGGGCTGGGGTCTCCGTGCAGCCCCCGGCGCCGGGCCCCGGGCACAGCGCGGCACCGTGTAGCTCCTGCAGGGCAGGGGAGCTGCCGGAGCCGCGCGCCAGCAGCCTTGCCGCAGCATGTGCCCTTTGCATGGGAAGCGTCAGGGCAGGCGATGGCAGCCCAGGATCGGGGAAGCGGAGCCGCAGGGCAGCACGTTGCTCTCAGGGCTGGAGGCCCAGCTGCTTTCTCAGAGCCCAGCAACCTTCCCTAGCAGCTCTGGTTATGGATGGGCCTGCAGGCCTCCATGGGGACTCCCATAGGAGAGGCCCGCGGGGGTCAGGGATCATGGAGGCAAAGGGGAGGCATCCCAGTGCCACATGGCAACCGCGGTTGGAGGTGGGCGCAGATCCAGCACTATGTGCAAGCAGGGATCGAATATTGGTCTTGACGTACTGGGTGTCAGCGCAGGGTTTTTCTGCGTGAGTTAATGTTTGATGAGTATTGTGCAGATAGGAAGATACCTCAGTTCTCAGGTACGTTGCTTTTGTGCAGTACTTAGTATATGTCTTCCCAGGCCCTCCGTGGGGTTTCAGTACAAGTGCTTATGTGATTTTAAGTCTCTTGTTGAAATTGGTGCTTATAACTTGAATGCTTTGTTGGAGAATATTAAAAAAATTATCAAAAATCTCAATTTTATTCCCAGCTATATACAGTGCTATTCAAGTGGCTATCTCAGTGTTATCGTGGCAATATTGAATTTCCTTGTTGCTCCACGGAGATTAATAGATTAATCGGCCAAGAGTAAGTGCAAAGATTTCATTATCAAAATACTGTGTAATTCTTTTTTTCCACTTTTCCACTTTTATTTTGTTTCTACTCTTTAAGTGTGTGTGACTTAAACTTAAGACTTAAATTTAAGCTCATAATATGGCGTTTTGTCACTTGAGTGAGCTTCACAGTCCATTGTCCTCAAACTGTCAAGGTGACTCTGTCCTGGGACAGAGTGTGCAATGGAAATCCACGCCAGCAACAGCCTTGCCTGTAGTTAGTGTTTCCAATAAACCAGGTTTCAGGAAGATTCTGGTTAACCTCTAACATGTAACCAGATCAGAAAGAAGCCTGGGTGGGATCCAGAAATGTTTTGTAAAAGACTGCAGGTCTCAAGAATGCAGTACTTGCCCATATCTGTTTTTTAGCAGTTGATAAACGTTACAGGGAGCTACTGGGCATTTCTTAATTTCTGTGGTTTATGTTTTTCTTCATATCACATACAAAGTTTTTGTGGCAGTCTGACATTTCCTGAAGATCTTGCTCAGGCCAAAAGAGCTGGTAAAAGTGTAAAAAGAGCTGGTAAAAGTGTTCTCAGTATACAAATTAGTTGTATGAAAATTGCAGCTTTCAAAGCAAATAAACGCAGGAGGTTCTTTTCCAAAATTAAATATGCTGGGATAAATACCCTTTAGTTTGCTGAACCAAAGGACTTTTGTCTTTTTTTTACTTTAAGAACGAAATCCAGTTTCTCTCAGTGATCTTGGGCTAAATGATTACAAAAATAATACATAGTAACACTTTCAGGCAGTAAGGGGTAAAATGGGTGTAGAAAAATGTCATTACTTAGTGTTCTTTCCTCTCAGAATGTAAGAACTGTGTGATGAAAGGTCCTTTTCATGCCGCATAGAGAAGGCTGTTTTGCAGGTGAACACAAAGATCCAGTATATGTCCACAGTTTACTGGTCAAAGAAATTCAGTTAGAACATTTTCCTACTGTCTAGACACAGCCAAAAAAAAAAAAAGGCCAATGTCATCTAGTAAGCAGACATTTTATGACTCTGCACAGAATTGAGCTGAACTATCTGGGTTTCATGTTTGACTTTCTGGAGAGATTACAAATACCTCTAAGGTTTCCACAAGCTGTTCAGAACTCGTGGATAAGAGAGAGAGAGGAATCAAAGAATTTCCATACTAAAATCTCAGAAAATGAGCCAATCTAAGTAACTAAAGTAATTTGGAGGTGGTTTGTTTTTTTTTCCTGCAGCTTTTACAGTATTGTTTTGATGAGATTTGAATGAAAAAAGTCTTGATTTTGTAGCTGTGTACTTGTAATATGAATAAAACTAAGCAAACACAAATTGTGCATATGCTGCATGCTGTCGACACAACTCTCCTACACCATAAGCACTTTATCCTCACTGGGATAGTGATAGGGGTCTAGTTTCGTGTGGCACCTCACACCTGCATGGGTTGCACAGGACACGCTCACGGGAAGGATGTTCAGCCCTGGCCTTGGGCAGCAAGTCCATCCTGGTTGATGCTGTGGTTTTATCAACCATCCTATGCCAGGCTGGTCCCTGTTTAAAACAGAACTCCCTTTCAGTAGCAGCTCAGTGGCAGAGTTGGTAAGGAGTGTGCTGGGTTCAGTTATTTGAAAGGATATAGGAGTTTACCCACCAGAAAAAGAAGATTCGCTGTCTCTGGGTTAGTAGTGAGTGAAAACACTTTTTTTTTTTTTTGGAGACCCAGAGTGGACTAGGAGCTAAGATAAGAAGGCGTCTCTGTAGCATTTCTGTTGACTATCTATACACGAACATACTGTGCGTTGACTTCAGACAGCCCCCTGCGAGCTGTAGCATAGTAGCCCAGTGCTGGGAATGCAGGCCCCAAATGAGTGTCCTCTACTCACTGGGAGCAGCCAGCAGCTCTGTTCCTACTTCCATGGGTTGGATCCAACTCTTACAGAATGGCAAGCAGAAATGACTGACTGACCCAGCTCCATATGATTGTCAAGTCAAACAGACTATTGTTGCAGTTGAACAAGTACCTAGGGCTTAACTCCCAGCAAACTGTGGCATGATCACAAAAGAGCAGCTCTACATCACAAGGTAGAAGAATTGCCCTAGTAAGATTATATTGCTTTTTAGAGGGAAGGATATTGCCGAAATATCTTAAATATTTTTATCTGGAAAGAAAAGCCAGTCCAAACATGAAATATTGCAGCTGTGTCTGTTCCCGTGTGGATTTGTCTGATACGTTTAGTATCATGTTTAAACTTTTAAGACAGTAGCTCCTTTGGTTGTGTTTTCATGCTGGCTTGAAGATCTGAGAGCAGTTCATCCCTCAGTGTGAATTAAAAGGCTGATAGAGACATGACTGTAAACCATTGTATAAGTGTATAACCACTGTACTTTGGCCACCTTTATATGACCGTGTTCAAAACTAGAAAGGAGGAATAGGAATTACATCCCGGTCAACTGGTACAAGGTTTAATGGGAGTCATTTCCCTTCTGTGTAGCTCTGCAGACCAGTGTCTTCTCAGGACTGCAAAAGCAACAGTTAGTATAAGCAAAACAGTTTGTCTTGTTTCTTTCACTTCTACCCTCCCAGAGATTCGTACTGAAGTAATAGTAGTGGTGAATGTTCCACAGCTACTTGTGAAGTGTTAAGTGAACAAGTTTTGAGAGGGAGTCTTCAGCAGCATTCTCAGCATGGCTTGCTCAAATACAGATTTGATGATTAATTCAGTAGTAAACATTGCATAAAATATTAATATGATTGATGTTTGCACTGCACCAGCGGAGGTGGAATTATTAGACAAATGCGTTGGATATTGTGTTGCTCAGTTATTAGTGCTCAATGAATGCAAAGATAATGTTCAAAAGAAAAGCCTTAGACTTAGGCTCTTCAGAGTTTGATTGCTATCTCTGATGGTGACTCCACTGTAGCAGCAGTCAAATGCCTTTATGGCTGAATTTTAACATCTTTAACCTACTAGTATTAATAGAAATTATGTCCGAAGGGAAAATTTTGGGAATATTCTGCATGTTCTTTGGAAACTGAAAGTGCTATGTGAATGTTCCCAATTGCTTCTTGATATCTTCAAGTCTCATTAGGACTAGTTTCATCAAGCCTTTACTCTTTCACATTCAAGCGATGTATTCCTATTATTAAATGTGCTTTGATATAATCACTTTGTTTTCCTGCATGTAGACAGCCTAAGCTAGAGCACATATTCTAGCAGATATGTGCTGACTACTTTACATAATCCCAATTAATGTGCCTTCTACTGGTTTATACTTTTTAGGCAGGACATTATTTACTTGAAATGTGGCTTCTAAAAATTGCAAGGAACATACCTGCGTCATCTCCTTGGTGGAAATAAAGTTTTTGTGTAAAGATCATTATCAGCTTCGTAGGTAACAAAGAAATGTTTATAGTTGTGGCAGGTATAACCACTGCATTCGAAAGAATGTATAAACAAGATTTAGAGCAAGCTGTATTCATTTTGAGTAACTGAATTTGCTGTTAGACTACAGTAAACTCTGTGCCTATTTTTGTATGGTAGAACAGCTTGCAAATAGTGATTTTATCAAGGAAGGCTCTCCAACAGTCATTGCCAAGTTTGCCTGAAAGTTGCTCTCTCTGAGCTTCTAACTCATTTAGCCCTTACTTTTCATATATACTGAATTTAATTCATTAAAAAAAAAAGTCTTACAAGGACATTTATCTCTGATTTAGTGAAAATGTTCTTTCTTTGTTTTGTGAAGGAGTTTTCAAGATGGCAGCAACAGTAGAATTCAACAACATCCATTCAGTGTCGGAAATGCCAGAAGAAGATGATGCTAAGCACAGTTCTCATCCCAGAATGTTCTTGGAACCTCAAGAGAAGAAAAGGAGCGTGAAGGCACTGGTGGTTAAGCGAGCAAAGAAAACTTGCAGCTGCACTCCAGCTAAAGTTAAAGACTGTGTTTTCAGTCTCCTTCCTGTTTTGCAGTGGCTTCCCAAATACAAACTGAAAGAGTACCTACTGGGAGACATAATGTCTGGTCTGATTGTGGGAGTTTTGTTGGTCCCACAGTCAATTGCCTATTCGCTCCTGGCTGGACAGGAACCTATTTATGGCCTTTACACATCCTTTTTTGCAAGCATTATTTATTTCATATTTGGAACCTCCCGCCACATCTCAGTTGGCATTTTTGGGGTGCTTTGTCTGATGGTGGGACAGGTCGTGGACCGTGAGGTACAGAGAGCTGGCTATGACTTAGAGCCAGCTGCTCTTAGAGTCCATGCAGATGCAGTAAACACCACCGTTTCTCTTGTGAATCAGACATCTCATCATCCATTCTGTGATAAAAGCTGCTATGCAATTACCGTGGGAGCCACCATGACCTTCATAGCTGGAGTTTATCAGGTAAGAGGAGGTGGGCAAACAGGTATTCTGCAGAAATTCTTCTTCAAGTGATTGACCATATGAGCAGTCTGCTAGGGTTGCACACATCCTTAATCTGCACCCCAGAGAATGGACACATGGAGGACGGGAGGACTCCAGTTACTTGAGTGTAAGAAACTCCTCTTTCTCCTCTCCTTATATGTTTTTAGTCGTAGCAATTTACAGATTTGCAGAACATGCATATGGGAGCATTGCACAGCTTTTAGTAACATTGAGTGCTTGTTAGTATGTTAGGGACCCTAAGGACCATCATGGAGCATTGCTAGACAACACTTGCAGCTCCCATTATATATTTTCCTAACTCTGTCACAAAACTTTTTTTTTTTAATTGGTTTATATAAGGACTGAATTGGATGAGTGTAAATTGTGGCGTGTCAATTTTCAGTTCCTGACTTTAGTGATCTGACATTTCTCTTGCCAAAAAAATAATCTGAACTGCAATTCTACCTCCAATTTCTTTTTATCTGGCATTCTTGCATTGCACTTGTAAAGCTTGGCTGTGTGCCCACTCAAAGCCAGAACAAAGCCGTTGTTTGAATAGGAAACTATTGAGGTAATAAAATACGGTTGAAATAAACCTGTTCATTATTACCATATTGAATGTATTGTTAAATAATATTTTACTCTTTCTGTGTTTACTTCCCAGAATTCACTCAGAATTCAGCTTGTTTGCTGAAATTAAAGTAGGCATCTATGTTTTTAGAGTGTCATGCATTAACCAGGAGGGATTTAATTTTAACAGTATGGCAGGGCTGTGATATTTCAGTTCAGCAGTTCACATTCATTTGTTTCTACAGTGGTAGTGATATTTAGTGATATAGTGATATTTTTTCCGATTGTAGAGGAGAGGAAAAGGAAGCACACCTGTGATACTCTTAAAACACTATTTTTCGATCCACCTAGGACTTTGTCTTGTACTGCAAGTTAGCAGTGAGTAATTTCAGTTATATTCAGTTAAATTTTGTTATGTATATATAGCCAGTTACAGGAACTAGGAGCTGTTATTTACAGTTGAACCAATGAGCAAACTATAAATACTAGTTCAGAGTGTGAAGACCTTTTAAAAGATCTGCTCCATATTAGAAACACATTTAGGTCAGATGAATCAGTAACAGCTGGAAGCGGGAGCTTTTGACTGCTCAGACCAAAAGACCTAATGCCTTTTTTTTTTTTTCCTACCTCCATTAGAACCTCACAGTGATGACATCTGTAAGATTTGTATTGTAATCCATTGTGTGTGGTTGATTCCTTTCAGGTGGCCATGGGTTTCTTCCAAGTGGGCTTTGTCTCAGTGTACCTCTCCGATTCACTGCTCAGCGGATTTGTCACAGGTGCTTCCTTTACCATCCTGACCTCCCAAGCCAAGTATCTCCTGGGCCTAGACATTCCCCGGAGCAATGGCATCGGCTCCTTTGTAACCACGTGGATAAGCATATTCAGAAACATACATAAAACCAACTTCTGTGATCTCATCACCAGTCTCTTATGCTTTCTTGTTCTCATCCCAACCAAAGAGCTTAACGAACACTTTAAGTCCAGGCTCAAGGCTCCAGTACCAGTTGAATTAGCTGTGATTGTTGTAGCTACTTTGGCATCTCACTTTGGAAAGCTGAGAGAGACTTATGGCTCAAGTGTTGCTGGACACATCCCAACAGGGTTTCTCCCTCCTCGTCCTCCAGACTGGAACCTAATTCCTAGTGTGGCTTTGGATGCTCTCCCGATAGCTATTATTGGCTTTGCCATTACTGTCTCCCTCTCAGAGATGTTTGCCAAGAAGCATGGTTACACCGTGAAGGCCAATCAAGAGATGTATGCCATTGGCTTCTGCAACATAATTCCCTCTTTCTTCCACTGCTTTACAACAAGTGCAGCTCTTGCCAAGACTCTTGTCAAAGAGTCCACAGGTTGTAGGACACAGGTATCTGGCCTGTTGACTGCTTTGGTCATCTTGTTAGTTCTTCTTGTGATTGCACCTTTGTTTTATTCCCTTCAGAAATGTGTCCTTGCTGTCATAACCATTGTAAACCTCAGAGGAGCCCTGCGGAAGTTCAAGGACCTGCCCAAAATGTGGCATTTGAGCAGAGTGGACACAGTGATCTGGCTGGTTACGATGGCATCCTCAGCGCTCATCAGTACTGAGATTGGTCTTTTGGTTGGCGTTTGCTTCTCTATGCTCTGCGTCATTTTTCGAACTCAGAGACCAGAGGCACCGCTGCTTGGCTGGGTCGCAGAGTCTGAGACATATGAATCCCTTTCTGCTTACAAGAACCTGCAAACCAAGCCGGGCATCGTGGTGTTCCGTTTTGAAGCACCCCTGTACTACATCAACAAAGAGTGCTTTAAATCCACCTTGTACAAGCAGACTGGAGTAGACCCAGTATGGGTGAAGGCAGCAAAGAAAAAGGCTGCAAAGAGAATGCTTAGAGAGAAAGAGGTGGATTCTGGTGGCAAACGGACCAGCCTCTCAGTGGAACTTGTCTCTGAACCCCTGGGGTTTCACACAATAGTGATTGACTGCTGTGCGATGCAGTTCCTGGACACGGCAGGAATACGCACGCTCAAAGAGGTCTGCAAGGACTACAGAGACATAGAGGTCCAGGTGCTACTGGCCCAGTGCAACCCTTCTGTGAGGAGTTCCCTGATGCGGGGAGAATTCTTTAAGGAAGGGGAGGACCACCTTCTCTTCCACAGTGTGCACCAGGCTGTGGACTTTGCACTGAGTGCACGGGAGCACAACGGGAGCTGTGCTTCTAAAAACTAGTTGGGAGATGGCAGCAATTGTGGACAGGTCACCCCACACAATGGGTGCAGGTTGTGATATTTATATGTGCCTTTTACATGCACTCAGATAGATAAAAAGAGGCAGGGTTGTTGTTAATGCATTGGTTACTGCCAGTGTGCTCTGATGCTTTAATTTGCCTGACCAATGATTCAGTAAGTGGTACTAAATGAAGGAAATTCAAAACTTGATCGCGGTCTATCTGCGAACCTAAGAGTTTACACATATATATGTCGATCCCAATTCTCATCTCTTTTTCTCATCTCGTTTCTCATCTCATTTCTCCTCTCTCTTGAACTTTCCATGTCCCAGCTGGCCCCTTGAGATCATCAAGACTGAGATCTTTGTCACAACCCTGACTTTCTGCAAGGGACTTGATTTTGAAACTGCTCTTTCCTGGCTGCATGATATGTGGCCGTTCCTTTCCCGTCCCTATTCCTGTCGATACGCTGCCATGTGATCACACCCACATACTGTCAAAGGAATGACTGTCAGCAACTGTTTGCTCTGGAGTGATTAGTTACTGATTTTATTTATAAGAATAGCTTACAACCACCTGTAGATACTTTGTCTTCTAACAGCAAGGCCCATGGAGGCGTGCTTATCTAATTTCTAAATGGTTTTTTACATGCCAGGAAAGTTTGCCTCTTTAGCTTGAATCCCCTCGGACAATCTGGACTGATTTTTATTCAGAGATGATTTAGAAGTCTGGCTCATGGTTAATATTTTATTTTCCTAATATTTAGGATCTCATCAAAATGAAAAGGGCCTAATAGACTCTCAAGCCTTTCTCTGAATTTATCAGTGTTGCACAGACTTCATGTGTTGTTGAATACAAATGTCATTGAATATAGAGTCTTTCACATGCCTGAGCATGGGCTTTATGTAATGGGGATGGACAGGCCAAGAAATACAGGCATTAGAAAGAGGTGAAGAAAATTCTTCGATTGAAAGTTGTTTCACCATATTAGTGTAAATAAATTTTACTACCTTGTTTTTAAATTATCCAGAACAATGAAGAATGCCTGTTTTTCCTGTGAAAGTACAAGCACTGATTAAGAAAAGGTTCTGTTTTCTAATGGCAATAGCATACAATTATGAAGGCAGAATTGAAGGGCTAATATTTTTTACTAAGTACTAGCTATACGTTGCTCACAGTATGTGCCGATCCAAGATGGTATTTCTCCCAGAGAAATTTACAGTCTGACTCACTAATTCTTCATGGCTTTTAAATGGGGAAAAAAGGGTGTGTTATGGCATGTTTTCTAAATAGAAGTGTATTTGGGGAGTTTTTTTTTTCTCCCCTGCTAGAACTAGTAGCTTTTTCCTAGGACCTCAAGAGGAGCAATAAATAGCAAAAAGATGAATACCAGGGCTTGGCAATTTTTATATGTTAGCTTGAAATTACTGTATTTTCTAGGGCAAAATAGAAGCAAACAGAAGAATACTGAGTGGCAGGGAGGGTGACTGTAGCAAATACTAAGAAGATAACTGAGACTTCCTGAATTAAGTCAATTATGTTGTTGCTTTGCAAGAGGAAATGACAGATCTCCAAATACTAGAGAAAAGTGAAGCTTCCACACAGCATTCAGAAGCCTAAGTATTTTTCTTTCTCAGCCTGAAGGCATGTTTGAACAAGGAAATGAACCCAGAACAGCTACCGCTGATATTTTTTTCCCCTTTCTGCAGTAACTTCCCGTGCCAACTTTTTATTCTGTGCTAGTGCAGTTTGTCTAATTGTAATTACCGGTTTAGCGTTACGGAAGTGGATTAACCTAAGCCATACAAAAGCAGTCGGTGTGTTCAAGAATGCCTACGCAGGGAGTGAATAGTAGATAGTAGGATTTTAAGCCCTCGCCCAGTTTGTTTTGTGTTTGATTCCCATTCAGAGTCCCTGCGCCAATGTCAAGAGAGGGACGTTGGCAGCATGGAGCGCTGGCTGCTGCCTTGGGGAGCCTCAGGTGGCTGCCTGGTCACCTGTGTCCTGCTGGTGGCAGCAGGAGAGCACGGCAGGTACCTGCACGTGTGCGTTCGGTGGCAGGCGGTGCCAGGGCCTGGTGGAATCGCCTTTCAACACGGTTTTGTTCACGGTGCCAAAAGACATCACTAGAATTCAAATTTTAAGCAAGAGCCTGTGCATCATCTATACACTAATTTTAGCAGTGATACTTTTCAAGACAGCAGAGTGGTGCTGGATGCAGTTTCTCACCCCCTGCCAGCTGTTCTCAGCCCCTCCGTCACAGCTCGGCCATGGAGAGCTGAGAGGGAGTGTGAGAGTGAGGAGCTGACCCGCGGGACCAGGAGCCTTCCCAGGCACATGAGCAGGGCGGAAAGAAGTCGGGTAGAATTGCCTGGGCTGATTCTTTTCCCTTTCTTTTTCCAGCACTCTT